CTGCTGACTCCCCTGAAATTACACAGATGATTAATGTTGTCCCTTAAGGTATGAACGAAGTGATAAAATTATTTACATTTCATTTCTTTACAGAGAGTGCAACTTTAACTGTGGCAGTGAATGATGCCAGAGTTGCCCTAAGACTTTATTAAGTTACGTTCCATCTGGTCATTTGACCACGATCATGTTTTTGGCTATGCAGGAATGAAGGGTTTAATTCCAGTAGCAGTTAATTCATGTTGGGCAGAAGACAGATAAACACTCCTGGCAGGCCATTTACTGAGACATACACAGTAATGTGAGGTAACAGAGTCCATCCTCCCTTTAGGCTGGCTGTGTAATAGACTGTGGCCAAATTCAAGAGACACAAGGACTGAGATACCACAGGCTTTACAGAAGAGAGGACTATGCTCTAGGCAAGACACACTCAAAGAGGCTGCTGTGTTGAACAGCTTTTATCCTTGTTCTGCTTTGTTCCTGTTGCAGAATTAAACAATACTTTAGTTATGTCACTGAAGTTACGCAGCTGGTGACAGTTCCTAAAGGAGAGCTTGCATGCCCTAAACCAAATGAGACCTGCTGTTAAAGGCTGGATGAGGAATAGCTTTCCAACCATAAAAATAAAAAGACAACAGGATTTCAACTCATTGTTTTCATTTCTGCCTCAGGACAGAGAGACTTTTCAAAGTTCCTCATATGCATCTGGAGCAAGAGAACCCAGTTTGGCAAACAGGTCAGTCACTGGGGCATTCTGAGGATGTGGGGCACTCAGGTCCTCCTTGTTCCTGATCTGACATACTCTGACAGTCTTGCCAAGTGTCCTGCTAATGCACGGCAGGATTAACCTCCGCTTCTCAGTCAGTAGGAATTGTTTCACTTTGAAGTAAGTAATTACATGTTACTAGGAGAGGAAGGCTGTTTCCATCTTTCCATTGCGTGGCACTTGGCTGGGATATAAGAAAAACTTAGGTAAATCCATGCTCCTGTAAATACGTGATTATTGACCACCTTCAACATAAGAAACCTGAGAGAGGGCTACCCAGAATAGTCAGCCACTTGGCAATTCAAATGCTTACATGGGATATGAGGTATCATGATTCAAGCCCGTAGCCTGAGCTGGGATGCTTTGAACCTTGATTGCCTTATGCCCCAAATACATGCTCTCACAGACCCCTGGAGAGAGAGGGAATCACTCAGTCTTCCTCCCAGCTAGAGCTATTACCCTGCACCTGAGACAGCTTCTATGGGATGAATTAGAGAAAGAGATGAGTTTCATAAAAGCTGGTGCATGTCCATGAAGAGCTCTGGTTCAGCATTCCTCCTCTCCACTCCCAAAACTACAGTCCTAACACCACGGGACACTTGAGTCAGAGGTGGGGCATCATGAGAGTCTATCACAGGGCAGATACTGTCCACCCCTGAAAACCCTGATTTTGGAAAACTAGAGTGAAACTCAGAAGTGTGGATGGGCTCTGAGGGTGTGAGAACAGCCTCACAGTCTGTGCATTTTAACTGTGTTCATATCTGAACACTATGATGTTATAGGAGAGGAGTGGGTGGTCTGGTCTGCAAGTGTGTTCAAAAAACCATGTCTGGATGTAAAAAGTGTGAGCTGCAGTTTGTGAATGTTACATGCAATTTAAGTGATGATTACCTGAGTTTTAGAAATTGCCTTGACAGGATGCACACTTACTGAGCAGTCTGCCTGGCAACTGAGCAGAGCTTTCAGTGTTGGTGTGTATATACAGTGAGTATACACGCTCCTTTAATCCTTGTTTAAGCTAGCAGCTCCACCTACCCTGTAGACTGAAATTCTCATTCATTCATTAAGTATGCCCAGCAAAAGCACCTCCTGATCCGTCTCCTCTGCCTTTTCTGCCACTTCTGCCACCTCTGCAGATGTTCAGAAGATCTGCATGCAGATTCACAGGGTAAGTCCATTCACTCTGTTCCCCAGAGCAGATTCTACTTGAATGTGCATGTAGGCAGTGGCACTGATTATGTTGGGAATTGCCTCCTAACCTCCAACCGTCAGCTACATATTTTGAATTGGAAGGTACCTCCGGTAAAGGGTATTTAGTAGCAAGGAGCATTTAATGCCTCTACTGGAAGGGACCCTGCTAAATCTAGGGAAGTCCTGTCTCTTTATTCCTCTGTCTCCACCAATGAGAATGTGAGATAACCCTGACATTGTGTAGATCCTTTTCTTGGAGACTTTCATAGATGTGATCATTCCACAAACATTACCCACTCACTACAGATCCCAGCCTTCCACTCACTTTATAAATATCAACAGTTCTAAGGAAATCAATGGGCTTACTGATCTGTGCAAAGTAAACAGCATTTTGTCCTTAAAAATAACAACATTCAGTCACCTCCAGAATCTAGTGCATTCAGCCAATGTGCTTAAAGATTGCAGAATCAGAATTGTGAAATGATTCTGGGTTGGAAGGGACCTCTGGAGATCACCTAGGCCAACTCCTATTAAAGAAGTGACAACCTCAAAGTTAGATCAGGTCACTTACAGTGTTTTCCAGCTGAACTTTGAACATCACCAAGGATAGAGATTTCACAGCTTCTTTGGACCTATTTCAGTGTTTGACCACTCTCCAGGTGAATGTTTATTTCATAATTTCTAATCGGAATTTCTGATGTTGTGACCTGCATTCATTTCATCTTGTCCTATTCCTGTGCACCTCTAAGATTTTGCCTCCACCCTCTCTACACTCTCCCCTGAGGTAGCTGGAGACAGCGGTATGATTTTGCCCTCGACCTTCTCTTTTTAAGATTTATCAACTGCATTCTCCCTCTCTTTATACATCATATGACAGTTTGCTCACCATCTTGATGACCTTCCCCTGGACTTCCCCCAGTATGTCAGTGTCTTGTACTGAGGAACCCCAAACAGGACATAAAATTCCAAGGGCTGTTGGAGAGAGTGAAATAGTTACATCCCTCAACCTGATGGCCACACTCTTGCTCACATTGGCCAGGATGCTCCAGGATGTGCAGTGGCACATTGCATACAGTATCTTCTTGCCTGAGAGGCCACCCAAGTCCTCTTCTGCAAAATGCTGTCTACCCAGTCAGTCCCCAGCCTGTACTGTTGTACAGGGTTCTTCCATTCTGGGTGCAGACCTTTTCATTTCCATATAGGAGATCTATATCTATCTATCTATCTATCTATCTATCTATCTATCTATAGAGAGAGAGAGAGATGTGTATTTGTCTACATTTTCTGTCTCCAAGTAGTACTCAGTTGACCCACACAACTCCAGAATCTGCTAATAGATATTTTTAAAAGGCCAGTAAGATAATAAAAATTTTAATAATTTTTTCATTAGAACATAATCTAGTTTTACTTCTTCAGATTTAATACATTGAATTTCCATTTCCCTTTAAATGTAATTTTTGTCTATTTGTTCCTGAAGCAAAAAATAATATCTTTTCAGGAGCACATATCCCATCATTTATTCCATAATTTGTGGTTGATTCTGTTAATTCTGGGCTTCACAGACTTTTCTGGGGAGGGCCCACGCAACAAAAAACTCTCAGTCCTAGCAGTTGCTAAGTGGTTTGATCAATTGAATGGCAGTCAAGGATGTTTGGCACCTTGCAAACCAGGAATTTTAAATCAGGAGGCTTTATGAAAGCCTGCAAACCTCATTTGTCCTTTGAGTTGTAAGTAAAAAACCTACACATTCCAAAACTGTCAGCATTCATGTGTATAAAAGAGAAAATAATTATCTCTCCCCCCAAAATATGCCAGTATATTTCTGAAATGATGTTCTAGTCTCTAAGACTACATCTGTTCTAGTAACTACAACAGGTCAAGGACTGTCCTCTGGCTCTGAAGACAGATATCACAGCACAGCATGAGTCCGTATGGGGAAATTCCCCTTACACCAAACCAAGGTCCTGGACCTGTTTTGGATATGCTGCGTTGTGTTTCACTCGGTAGCATGGAGAAACAAGTAGCAGCACTAGAAAACACCTTGTTTCTTTAGCCCTTGGTATTGTTACTTTGCTGTGCTTCATAAAGAAGTCAGAGAGATTCGGAAGAGACAGCAGAGAGCACCAGTTTGGTTTTACCCTCCCTAAACTGTGAGCACAGTTTGCACCGGGTGCTCCCCTGAATGTCTCTCTCTGTGTTTTCTCCCCCAACTCTCTGAAAGTGCAGTTCACTGACAAATGTCACTGTCACTGGTTCTTAACGCTGATGCCCTTCCTTCCTTCCTTCCTTCTCCCCTCCAGAGATGCAGACCGTGAGCCCTATGGCAGTGCCTGCCGGCTTCTTTCATCACATGTCAGCTCCAGCCCCAGAGCTCTTTGGACCCATTATCCCGGGATGGTCGGGAGAAGCAGGGTGCCAGCGCCGGCACGGCCCTGCCTGAGCGCCGTCCAAGGCTGGCAGGCTGGAGCTGGCTGGCATCCCTGCGTGGAGCTGCTGCTCGGTGGGTTTAAATTCCACCTTCCGCTATAAGGCCCAGAATCCCACTTCTCATCACAAGCAGCATAATAAAAACCGGGCGAAATGCTCAAACGTATCGTTAATGGCTAATGTTATTGCTTTAATGATTAATAACAACAGCCAAACGATAGATTATTTCTAATAAAAGGCCCGCCAATCGCTAACAAGTTAGGAAATGTCAGAGCAGAAGTTCTCAGAGAAATAATCCCCTGCCACATCCCCCCTACGCAGATTAACGAGAATTCCTAACGGGTGTGCTGGACGCGGACCCTAGCCTATATGGGACCTATAGAAATCCCGTGGCTCCTCAGTAACGCGTTTTGAGAAGAGCCCGGGCACAGTCTCACAGGGATGCTAACTTTCTCATGCGGAATGCGCTCCGCGGGGGAGAAGCCACCCCGAGCAGACAAAGCCGGGGCTGCGCCCCGCG